TCCATTTCTTTGTCTTTTTGGCAGCCTGCTGCATTTTGAGATTCCTAGCACTTCCTCGTCCTTCGGTTGCTGACCCGCCGCCGAAGGCCGGTCCCAACAACGTTCGGGGTACTGGGAGCCATATTATTTTCTTCTTCTGTTCATGATTGTTGGACTTGTCAATTTACCATTCGCTGGTTCAGGCTGTCAGTGGTCGCGCCCATACCTAGCCGGCCAAAGATTCAATGCTGCGTCATCTCGGCATGCTAGAAGCTGCCAGGGCACTTGCTCCGCCGTGTTTTGATGCTCTGGCCGTTGCCACTTCTACGACGAGATGCCTTTGTCAAAAACGTGTGGGAGGTTGTCCTGAAGGCTACAGTTGTGAAACAGCAATTCCTTGCGGTTAAACCACGCCATTTGTGGTGGTTTCTATTCAAGTAGTTTATTTTCTTAGATTGCAAATGGTTAAATTGCAAATGGACCGTGTTCAAGCTTCAGCTTTACTACAGAGAAAAACGTGACGACCAGACAGCGAGGGCCTGAGGTTACACTTGACTCAGAGTCGGCACCGCAGCGCCTGCTGAACAAAAGTACTGATCAACTTTTTTAACAATAGACGTGTCCATTAATAAGTCTACAGTAATACGTCATTTCTCGTTGTGCGAAAATGCAAGAGTGAAAAAAAGCATCACTAGTAGAAAGCGGTCTGCTTTTTCACGGTTTTTTTCTTAAATTGATTGTTCGGCTGTTCAAGAGATGTTGTCAAGATGAAGAGATTCTTTCCCTCTCAAAAAACTCTGATAAATGCCGTCAAAGACGCAGAGTGAGTGAACGGTGTCATTAAGATGTTTCATCTGCATGCAACAGTCATCCCTGGCGCATGTGGGATTAATTATGAATGGACCTGACGCGTTGCACCTTTCCGCCGACAACTGCAGGAATTCTTTGGCGCCTAAAACCAACGAAAGCAAAGTTACAAATGAAATGATTAGTGATCTGATGCATTCACGTATTGCCGTACGTTAATTAGACAACAACGGTTGTCTTACGGTTGTTAGTAATTAATCGCAATCGGCATTGCCTAGCGTCGATGTCCATGTTCATCTGTCTCGTACAATTTGCCAGCGACAGCTTTAATGGCTTTCCTTTAGCTTAGCTTAGCTTTAGCTCATGGCTCAGTGTCAGCCGAGGTCTTCTAATTGAGCGCTTGCCGTCCCCTTGGGTACTGATTTTTCACTGCTGAAACCGTTGTTCACCTGGCAATAATGTCCTGTAGTCGACTGTAGCAATATTCAAGGTACAAGCAGCGGACTGAGCCTCGTTCTTGTTTGCGTTTTCCATTCCATATGATCTTGGAAATGGTTTTGGCTACTGTTCATGCTTCATGCCTGGCAGGCTTGAACATAGCGTCCGTTTGCCCTCCACCCGACTTGATAACACAACGAGGTTCCTTGCGACAACACTTCGATACCTTTCCTGCTCCGGGTTTTTCTCTGCAAGCACTGGTACGGCCACCCCTTCTTCGGCTATTTTCCCCTCTGCAGCACGGTATGCTATATCGAATGACATACATACGTCATACATGCAATAGCATATTCTAGCAAGAGTCTCTGGTTTCAGTACTCGCTCATTCATAGT